TACCACGTTATTTCTTGGCTCAGTCCCCAGCAAATAAATGATGGTGGAAATAAACTGGGTTCACACCAGGGACAGCCAGGGGATCCAGGAGATATCCCAGCCAAGGATCAGGATCTTTCCTGCACATGGGCTGCGAGTTGGGGCTTTTGAAATAATTCATTTACTCAACTCTTCTCCTGCTAGGAGAGGAAACAGCTTCTTCTGCAGCTCAGAAAAACTGGATTTTATACCAATAAAAGCAGTTTTTACACCAATAAAAGCAGTTTTTACACCAATGAAAGGGGTTTCTACACCAATAAAAGCAGATTTTACACCAACATTTTCATTTGCCTGTGGTTTTAGCTGAATCTCACCTGGAAGGTTTGACCAGCTCACTGCCCAGATCTCCCCCAGCTGCTGGGCCAAGGCAGGAGAAATTCAAATAAAGATTTGCTGAATGCAGCTCTTATTCAGGCAGGTGAAAGAACCCAGCCCTGCCTGGTTAGGAGAGGGTAAAGCCTCACTTTACAAAACCTCAGCCACTCTCCACGGCTGCTTGGTTTTTAATGACCAATAAAGGCAAATCCTGCCCTGGCCACCCTCAGAACCCAGCTCTGGACTGAATCAGTGCCCAGCAACAAAATCCTTCCTCTCCCAGCAGAGCCAAAAATAGCTGAAAGCCTTTTAAAATTAATATATTCTTTTATTTCTCTTTTATTTTCAGGCTACACCTGCCATGTCCCACCCTGAAATACCTGAAGGACATTTTGCCTCTTGACTTATTCCTGCTCAGCTCCATAACTCTAAGCCCAAGTGAAGGGATTATGATGAAATTAAAGTGGATTTTTTTTTTCTTTATTTTAACGAGGAAAACACACTCCAAAACTGAAGGAAATCTGAGCTAGGAAAGCAAATTCTCAGTGTCCTTCTAATGGAGCTCGTGGTGCTTTTTTCACCCCACAATTCCACATCTGCAGCCGAGTTTGGAGCCCCAGCCCCAAAGGCAATAAACCTGGAGATGGATAAAAAATCCCCAGTGCTGAAGCTCTAATAACTCTCCCAGAGCCTAAAACTCATGGCAGAGGTTTGAAGTGAGGGAGAAATGGGGGAAAAAACCTCCTTTTTCATCCTTCTGGCCAGAGCACAGGATCCTGCTCCATCAACCAGCTGCTCCTTCTATTTTTAAACACTCTGGGGGACCCAAATATTGCAGAGCTGAGAGGAAGGAGCAGCTTGGCAGACGGGTGGGAAGGAAGGGAATTATCCCCGTGGGATGGGCTGGGAGTAAATGCTGATTCCAGCTCCACATCCAGCCCCAACAGGTACCAAAGCTGGACAAAGGGGATTTATTCCTCAAGGCTGCTCTCAGGAATGTTGTTCTTCCACTTCCACCGAGGCTCAGCACCCACAGCACAGAAAATGAGCTGGAGTTTGCAGTTTTTTTCTGCTCCCAGCTCCACAAAAACACTCCTAACTAATAATGAAATCATCATTTCCCCTCTGTTTTGGTGCTGTTTTGAATCAAGTGAGAGGCAGCTGTTGATTTTCCTCAGCCATAAATCAACGTTCCTTGACGCTTGGAAACTCAGGAGAGTGGGGGAAAAAAATAAATAAATGAATGAAAGGAGGTGAGAGGGGAGGGGAACTGCTGAGAGTAGGCTGAGTTTGATTTTTAATTTCCATTTCTTTTTGATTCTTTAGCTGGTGTGTTGCCGCCTCTTGAGCAGGCAGGGAAATCAGAAAGAAGATGGACTTGCCAAGGATGGATTTGGGATAAGGGGAAAAGCAAAGCCCCTGCTCCATTTCCTGCTGCTGAGCTGTTTATTTCAGAATATTCCCATTGTTAGGGAGCAAAGCATTCCCATGGCAGCACCAGGAGGGAGCATCAGGCTGGGGAAAAAAAAGCTAAATTTGGCACAAATTCCTCAGAAACCTGAGCTCTTCCTATGGAAATCCCCCCTTCCTGCCCAGCTTTTTAAAACACTCCCCCTCAATTCTGCCCTCACCCCAGGAAGTGACAAAAATAACCCCCTAAAAATGGATTTTTCCTGTAGGTAAAGGGATAAGGATTGGAGTTCACTCAGGAAAATTTAGGATTTCCCAGAGGACACAGCCAAGGCTCTTGGGGCAGGAATTTTCACTCCTTTTCTGACTTTGGGCACCCAAAAATTGTTGCTCTAAACAGTAAGCAGCAATAAATGAACACAAATAGAAATATCTGAGATCAGGCCAGCAACGCAAGGCCATGTGGGGAAAAAAAAAGAATGAAAAACCAAACCAGAAATGTTCTCTGTGAAAATCTGACAGCATTTTAAATAAACTGAATATCACAGCTTTCATACAAGCCAAATCTTTTTGTGTATTTTGATTATTTCGCAAAATTATTGTTAATTTTGGAGGCTGCAACACATTTTTCTGGGTGTTCTCCTTTTTAAAAATTTGGTTTTCTACTTTTACTTTCTTCCCTTTCCCTATTTGATCACTGTGACAGCTTTCATTTTCAGCTCACAATCAAAAAAAAAAAAAGAAAAAAAAAAAAGGTAGGTGGCAGCTTTATTTCCAGGCATGCATTTGATAGCTGGGGGTAGAAAAAGAAACTTTTTTTCCCCCCCAAAAAAAAAGTTTCCATGTAAAAAAGCCCAGCCAGATCAAATGCAGGGACATTAAAGTTCCAAGGACATGATCTTGGCAGGCTTGGAAAATAATTTCCAGCCAGTCTCACCTAAAAAAAAAAAATCTGATTTTTCTTCCTTCTTGTTTGATGCAGCAGCTCATCCAAGCAAACCAACTTCAATATTGCAATTTCCCCAATGTGGATTTATTTCTGTTTGAATTTATTGTGTGAATCTGTCACAGGCAGAGGAAAGAGATTCCCATCTGGGCAAAGTCCCTGGAAGCTGCTTCCATAGCAAATTTCATTTTTATTGTTATTTCCTGGTTGAGTAATTCAGCTGGAGCACAGGAGGGAGGCCCAGGGAGAGAAGTCCAAACATTTTCTGCTGGCTGCAGATCCCTGCGCTCCCCTGGGAGATGGGAAGGTGGGATCAGGATTAATTTGGGATTTTTATCTATCTTTTATGCTCTCAGCGTGGCTGGAATGAATTCATGGGTGCCAAACCCTTCTGGGGGCTCCAGCAATCCAAATTTGAGCACAAATATTGTTATTAACACGCTTAATTCTCCTCCTGTGCTAAAATGGAATAGAAAATATTGTTATTAATGCCCTTAATTCTCTTCCTGAATTAAAATGGAGTGGATTGGGTGCCTGATCCTGATTTCACAGCTGAAATCCACAACTAAATGCATTTCACCCTCTGGCTTTAATGAAGTCCTTGCCAATTAATAGTGGGGGCAAATTAAAGAACCTGAGCAACATCTGAGGAGTTAAAAGTGATTTGAAGAGAAGAACAAGAAGAACTTCTTTAGTTTGGTTTTGGTTTTTTGTGCTGTGTCTTTCTGGAGCTGGAATTTCTGTGACCTCCTTGGTTCAGGGATGGCTTTTCCCCGGGGATAAAATCACCTGGCACAGGAGGAGAACGAGCAGGGAGCTGTGAGGGAATTATTTTCTCCCCTTCATTGACACACCAAAATGGAAATGGGCTGTTGGTTTTCCCTAATGCGAATAATAACAACTGCAGTGATAGATTTGTCATTGCCAGTATTGATTTCCTTCCCCAACATAAACTATTTTTAAAAATGCCTCTTCATGGGTTTTTATTTGCTAGCAGGGTTGGGATTTCAGGCTGCTCTCCATTGGGCCTGCAGGAGCAGGACCTGCCTGGCCTTAAAAGTGAAAGGAAAAGTGGAAAAAAGGGAAAAAAGGGAAAGTCAGGAAAAAAAAAAAAAAAAAAAAAAGCAGCAAAGGAGAAGGATGAGGAGGATGAATTGAAATGGAATGAGGAGAAAAGCAGGAATCTCTGTCCCACCCAGCCCACAGGAACTGCAGGGAGGGGAGCAGAGCTGCTGGCAACACAAGGATGAGGCAAAAATTTTGGAGCACAGGTCTTTTTTCTGCCTTGAGCCATGTCCAGGTGAACCACAAACATTGAGTGGAGCTGCTGAGAGAGCCCAGGGGAACCCCCGGAGCTGCTGCAGGGCTGGAGCCCCTCTGGAGCCAGGCTGGCAGAGCTGGGGGTGCTCACCTGGAGAGGAGGAGGATCCAGGGAGAGCTCAGAGCCCCTGGCAGGGCCTGAAGGGGCTCCAGGAGAGCTGGAGAGGGACTGGGGACAAGGGATGGAGGGACAGGACACAGGGAATGGCTCCCACTGCCAGAGGGCAGGGATGGATGGGAGATTGGGAATTGGGAATTGTTCCCTGGCAGGGTGGGCAGGCCCTGGCACAGGGTGCCCAGAGCAGCTGGGGCTGCCCCTGGATCCCTGGCAGTGCCCAAGGCCAGGCTGGATGGGGCTTGGAGCAGCCTGGGACAGTGGGAGGTGTCCCTGCCATGGCAGAGGGAGGATGGGATTTCAGTTTGGGTTGTTCCAACACAACCCATTCCATGAGAGTGGAAGTGGCAGAGGGAGACCCGGAGAGGCCTGACCCCCCCTCCTTGCTCTTTGTGGAGTTTGGTTGGGATCACAGAGAGGATTTCCTAAACAAATGAAAGAGGAAGGAAGGAAGGAAGGAAGGAAGGAAGGAAGGAAGGAAGGAAGGAAGGAAGGAAGGAAGGAAGGAAGGAAGGAAGGAAGGAAGGAAGGAAGGAAGGAAGGAAAAAAAAAACCCGAATAAATAAATAATCATTACTATATTAAAGGCCAAACAAACAAACAAAAAAAAAACCAAACAAACCACACAAAAAATCAGCAAAAAAACCCCAAATAACCGCGCGTGCACGCGCTTTCTTTAAATTTAATTTTTAATTTTCTAAATTTTTTTTTTAATTTTTTTTTTTTTTTTCTTAAAGGAAACCTTCATTTCTCCCGCCCGCTCCCGCGCATCCCCCACCCACCCTCGGCGGGGCGGGGGCATCCCGGCTGCGCTGCCCGCATCCCTCCCCTCCTTCCCCTCCCTTCCCCTCGCTCCCTCCCCGCGCTGCCCGTGGGCGGTGTCGCCGCGGCTCCCCGGCCCCGTGGCTGTCCCCGGCGCTGTCCCCGAGCCCGCGGCGTGCATGGCCGTGCGCGGGCGGCGATGGCTGCGCGCTGATGGCCCAGCTCGCCATGGCTGCCCGGGAGGAGCTCTACAGCAAAGTCATCCCCCGGCGGAGCCGCCAGCACCGCGCCGGGACCATCAAACATGGCTCGTCGCTGGAGATCCTGCTCTCCATGGGCTTCCCCAAAGCACGGGCGTGAGTCGCTGCCCCGCGGGGATTTTCTCCTCTTTTCTTGCGCTTTACGGAGAGGGGAGAGGCGGAGAAGCGGCGGGCGCCGCTCGCATCCGCTGCTCCGGAGCGGCGCGGGGCCGGACGCGGGGAGGGAGCGCCCGGGAGCCGGGGATCCAGCCCGGGAAGAGGCGGGGATGCTCTGCCGGAGAGGGAGGATGAGCTCCCGGAGAGGGGGGATGCTGTGCCGGAGAGGGAGGATGAGCTCCCGGAGAGGGGGGATGCTCTGCCGGAGAGGGAGGATGAGCTCCCGGAGAGGGGGGATGCTCTGCCGGAGAGGGAGGATGCGCTCCTGGAGCAGGGGGATGCTGTGCCGGAGCGGCCCGGACAGCGGGGGATGCGCTCCCGGAGCCGGGGGGATGTTGTGCCGGAGCAAGGAGATGCTCTGCCGAGAGGGAAATGCGCTCCCGGAGCGGGGGGATGCTTCCCCGGCTGCGAGGGGATGCGCTCCCGGAGCGGCCCGGAGATGCCTCCTCGGAGCAGCCAGGGAAGCGAGGGATGCGCTCCCAGAGCCGGGGGGATGCGCTGCCGGGGCAGCGGCGCGATGCTGTCCCGAGTTGGGGGGGGGGATACGGCCTGGGGATGCGCTCTCGGAACGGCCCGGACAGCCGGGAATGCTGTCCCGGAGCAGGGGATGCTCTCCTGGGGCAGGGGATGCTCTCCCGGGGAAGGGGATGCTCTCCTGGGGCAGGGAATGCTCTCTCGGAGCAGAGAATGCTCTCCCGGGGCAGGGAATGCTCTCCCGGGGAAGGGGATGCTCTCCTGGGGCAGGGAATGCTCTCTCGGAGCAGAGAATGCTCTCCCGGGGCAGGGGATGCTCTCAAGGAGCAGGGAATGCTCTCCCGGAGCCGGGGATGCTCTCCCGCGGAAGGGGATGCTCTCCTGGGGCAGGGAATGCTCTCTCGGAGCAGAGAATGCTCTCCCGGGGCAGGGGATGCTCTCCCGGGGCAGGGAATGCTGTAGGACCCTCGGGATGCTCCGCTCGCCTCCTCCGGCCAGGCAGGAGCCCCGGGCACTCCGCGTCCCGTCCCCCCTGTCCCGAAGTTTGGGATGGCCAGAGAGGCACCAGGAGTTTTTGCCACCCAAAGTGAAATTGCTGTAGCTCGGACCCCCGGGGGATTTTCTTTAATCCGTGCACAAGTCACCCTAAAAGCAGCGGAGCAACAGAAGCAATTTCCATCCGCAGCCCGAAGTGGTTCGGTTTTTCTTGCCCAGTTCACGCCCTGGTGTAACCTCCCTGCTTGTGCTTATGCTTTAAATTAATCAGGCTGCAAACTAATGATAACTTAATGAGGGAACAGTGGCTCCTGAGGTGGGACTGCTCGCTTTGGGATGCAAATGAAACCGGGGGGATCGGGATGGTTCCTTGATCTCCCTAAGTTTTCCCTTTGTTGTTGAAACCCATCAGAACTCCGGGGTTTTGCAGCCTGTCTTGTCACAGTTTGGGGTTTTTTTATATATAAATATAGACAGGCACATGCAGTTTAAGGGCATATGTTCCTTGTGGATTCGTGGGATTGCACGGATCCACCAGCACATGCAGGAAATCTTATTTTTGTTTTCCACGGTGCTGCTTTGCGCTCCTGGCTGTCAGTTATCTACTGAGATCAGCACGCAGCTTTTAGACACAGTGAATGCAAATGAAGAGCGGGGCAGAGCGGTGACTTCATGCTTAGCTCGGCTGGGAGAAAAGATGGTTGGAAAAAAAAAAAAAAGATGTGTATCTTTCAGAGGAGCTGGAATTTTTTAAAAAAAATCAGCTTGATCCTATGAATGAAAGTGGTTCTTACCTGCACAACAGTGCCATCAAGGCTGCCAGGCAGCCCTGCTCTTACCTGACTCAGGAACTGTGTCTATGGGCCACATTCCTGCCCAAAAAGAGCTGGCATTTGTTAAAATGCACTCAGAGCTCCACCACGGAAAGAAGAGATGGTTAAACACAGTGGGCAAGCCAGAAAAATGGGCAAAATATCCCTAAATGCAAAAAGTATCTATTGGAAATGCAGCCAGGCAGGTGGGTAAAGCTGTCTTGAGTTCAGGATAACCCTGTGTGACAGCTCAGCAGAGCACAGAAGGCTAAACACAGGGAGAAAGCCAGAAAAATGGGCAAAATACCCATAAATACAAAAAGTATCTATTGGAGAAGCAGCCAGGCAGGTGGGTAAAGCTGTCTTGAGTTCAGGATAACCCTGTGGGACAGCTCAGCTCTTTGCTGGGACAGGCTCCACTCATCCCATCTGAAGGAGCAAGGAGTGCCCCTGTTCCACCCTGCTGGAAATGCTACAAATAATTCATCATTAAAATTCAGACAAAAAGCAAAATGGAAATAAACCAAATAAAATGCAAGAGGTGCCACCAAGGGTAGGATGTGGATGGAGCACAGGTTTGGGAGCTGGAGAGAAACGAGTGCATGGCAAAAGGACATTTCCTAAAGGTCCAGAGAATGCTCTTTAACTCTCAGCATTTCTCTGGAAGTGGGAAGGAGAACACCAAGATGCCAGTGACATAAAATCATCTCCCTCCAGATATGGTAAGGAGAGTAAAAAACAAAAAATCATCATCTCCCTCCAGAGATGGTAAGCAAAAGTAGCCTTAAAGCCCTTATGAGTTTTTCCCCCAAAATCTCCCCCCTCTGTTTGCTGCCCCAAAGCCACAGTTCCAGCAAGGAATTCAGTGAAATGGGAATTCAGTGGAATGGGAATTCAATGGAATGGGAATTCAGTGAAATGGGAATTCAGTGAAATGGGAATTCAATGGAATGGGAATTCAATGAAATGGGATTTCAGTGGAATGAGATTTCAGCTCTGTGCACACAAACACGAGCCAGGCTGGTACTTAAAAGTGGTGACCATCTGTTTGGGTGGCTTATGCAAAACAAACCTCCAAGTTGTCAGACAAGTCTGTCAGGCATGTCACAAAATACCATCGCTGCCTCCTGGCTCCTGGCTGCAGCTGGGGACAGCAGGGGACAGAGGGGCAGCTCAGGCAGGGCCACAGGCACAGGGCTGAGCTGGAATCTGCATTTCCAGGGTGGTGTGGGCAGAACTCACATTGCCTGGCTTCCAGCTTTACCCTGTGTGTGTTAAAATAATCAAAGGTGAAAGGCTGGATGTGATTTCCAGGCGTTGCTGATGGCTCAGTCAAGGCAGAAATTGGGCTGAGGCAGGCAGGAGCCAAGAGGGGATGTCAGTAGCAAGTGCCAAACTGCCATGGATCTTGGGTTCTCAGCAAGGGGCTCCTAAAAAAGCCTTTATCTGTGCATCCCACGGGTGGTTTATGGGGGACTGGGGTGAAGGGCCCATCAAAGGACGTGTCCTTCCTCTCTGAGCTGAGACATCTCTGCAGTTAATGGATCTGCAGCGATGGCAGTGTCCCCCAGCTCACACTGAGACTTTGAGGTTTCTCCCGTTCCCCTCTCTGAAGGATTTTTTGGCACGGGTCTGTCTGTTTTCCTTCTTCCCAGCACCAGCTGCAGTTCAGGGCTGCTCTGAATCACAGGGTGAAGTTCAAACCACTTCTGGAAGGTTCTACCTGAGCATGGCACCTGCTCAAGCACGGTGTGTCATCCCTTTGAACCCTCACCACCAGCAGCTGCTCTGCCCTGCCAGCACACAGCCATTATTATTATTATTTTATTTTGCAATTAGCCCATTAGATTACGTACTGTCTGGCCCCACAGGCTGTCCCTATCCCCAGGAGTTTCTGATTGAAGCAAGCAAGGAAGGCAAAGGTGAGGTTGTAATTCCCATTTTGCAATTTGGGCACCAAGAAAAACATTTTACCCCTGTTCACACAAGCTCTAATCAAACCCCCAGTGCTTCAATGCCCTAAACACAACACGAGGATACTTCCAGAAAGAGATTTCATACAAATGTTATTTCCCAGTTGCTCTAAAATATTATTTATCATCTTGTTATGAATTTCCTATCAGTGGTTCCACCTAATTGTCGTCCAGTCTGCCAGCCAGCACCTCTCACTATTGTTTATAATCCCTGTATATCCCTGAGAGCAGAGAGAAGAAAAGCACAAAGTAATTTACAGGCCATCAAAACCACAGGGGATCACTTACAACTCCTATGCCTGTAGAAGCAATTAAAAAAAATCCATAATGTGTCTATGAAAGGCTAAAATTGAAAAAAAAAAAATTACTGATGGACTGCAGTTTCATTCAGGATAGAAGAAGACCTTTGACCAAACTTGAATTATTGAAACTTATTTATCCTGCATGGTGCAGAAATCAATGTGGCTCCAGAATCTGCAAGTTTTAAAAGTTTCATGTCAGGCTTTAAAAAAACATCCTCAAAACCAGAAAGTTAAAGTTCTAGCTTGAGGAAAAAGAATGGATCCTGCTTTCTTTGTTTTAATTCTGGGTGCACAGAATGAATACATAAATGGCTATAATGGATATAATGAATATATGTATGGATATATGAATGTATAAAATTCAAGATGTTTCAGCTGCTGCATACACCTCTGAACTCAAGGCACAGCTCTGAGATGCTGTTTCAGAAGAGATCCAGGCCTAAGAAAATGAAGATAATTCCCTGGTCCCTGCCATTACTCAGGCTGGGTAAATCACTGCCCACAACCAGAACACTTAAATTAGAGATATTGTGCTTTTTCTGCCACTGTGCTCTCTCTGATAAGCAGAAGAGATGACACAGGTGGCAAAGCTTTCCAAAACTAAATGGATCTTCCTTCCCCTCATCTGGGCCTTGAAAAGGATTTAACTCTGTGTCCATGAGGAGGAGTTAATTCCCCTGGACCTGGATAAAACCAGACTTGGATTTGCCCTCTCAGAAACGAGGAGAATTTACAAGCATTAAAGGTTTCACTATTGTAGAAGAAATGAAGCTCAGATCCCGTTTACAAACACTAAAAGCCTCTCTGGTGTTTTGAAAGGGATTTTAGCCTGCTAAGACATGTTTTGCTTAGTAACAGACTTAGCAACATGCAGGATTTCAGCA